CTGTATCCCCTCTTCTTCCCCATAGTCTAAGGTCTGAATGATTTTCAGATAGGAGACGAAACGGTGAGTGCTCCATCGTACTGCAGTGAAGGCCAAGTTACTGCTTTATTAAATTGCATGGAACTGATTGACAGAAAAGGACGAAAAAATAACTCCCACCTCAGAAATGACTGCATTCTAGCGCCAATACCTAAGCGAAATGCTTGCCCGACGTCTTTACTGACGTCTAATACCTAAGAATAAATGAGGAACAGACAGTAACCTTTTTAGGACTTAAATTAGGCTAATACTAAGTAGAAAATGGTGTGGGGAAAACAATGATATATAAATCCTCAGATAATAAGGTTACCATTTAAAAGCAAATAAACGAGTTTGAGTTGAAACACACTCCGGTTAGGATGGCTTGTCTAGCCACGTAAACAGGATACATGCACAGGAAAGCCCCGCACACTAAGAATAGGTGGCCTACAAAGAATTTCATGAAGGGTGAATATTCCCGTTTCGTAACCATAACACTGGACCTAGCATAAAGTAAATTGTAGCTTTAATCGTAGACAAGTCTGAGACATGCGCAGATAAGGGTCAGGACAATAAAACTCTTGTTTCAGTAATCGTTTCTTCGTCTTCTGTAGCTTTAATCTTAGCCATAGCAACACCACAAGCCCGAAAGTTAACACGAAACTAAACCATAACACAATCCTGATCCTAAAAGTAATCCTAAATCTAATTTCTCCGGAATTTGCCACAAAGCTACATGTATTGCGAGCAGTTCCTGTACCCGCGTCCGGTCTGGGCGGCCATACAAGTTCTCCGTATCCTAACTCAGAAAGAACCAGAACTGTCAAGAGGAAAGACTACAGAAAGTGTGGCATCCAAAGGCGAGTTGTCGCAAAGAAAACGCCCTTAAGAAGCCCAAGTCGGTGAATGTGTACCAATCTAAAAGAGACAAAGGGGAGGATTCAACCAAAACGCAGCACTTTCCAAATGTTTCTGAGACGAATAAACGCACTGTCGCGGAAGCGTGTCGCTCAGTGGACAGAAGCGATTGCACACAAGTTTTGGACGCAACCTAGATTTGATTATCCGATACCAAGATATCATTGTTCTCGCAGTTACGCAGGTCTGATTATAAACATGTTGGACTTACGAATATGGGAATATATGCTGACGGTGCCGGGAGTGACAATTTATACAAAGCTACCACCCGCATTGTAGGGCGGGTGTCTGACTGCGCGCACCTGGAGCATTGATTAACTTTTACCAGCTGGGCCTATCGATCTACCTACCGCTGTTAACGTACTGAAAGCTCTGCCAGGCGGTGCGGCGCAATTTTCCGCCAAGAAGGCCCGAGAAAGGAGATCACAAGTATACCGACGTGTTGCTGCAATCACATTCTACGATGAATAAGTCCGAAAGCTCACATCTACAGGATGATCCTGTAATTCAATTGGCCTTTGTCGTCCTATTCGTGAACAAATTTC